AATGGAACAAGGAGTGTGGTGTCAATTTCCACTTGTCTTCATTTGAACACAGGCCTTTATACAGATGGGAGAAGACTCAACAAGAGGATGGCTTGGTCACTAAGCTGGTGACAGAGCCCAGCTAGGTCCTTTGACTTCTGTGAGTTTGCCACACCCTAACACATCGTATTTTCTACTGACTATAACATTAACTTGCTGAAAACGAAGACAAACGGGAGCCACGTCCCCAGAGCTAGGACCAAAAAGTACAGAAGATATGAAAAAAGGGTAGAGACCTACCTCGGGTTCCCACAGAGGAAACGCTGCTTCGGTGGGATCGCTCCGCTGGGCCCAGCTGCCCCGTGCTACCTTCTGCCCCATCCATCTGTAATAGGAACGACAGAGAGCATTTAACGGGGATCCTGGGCAGTCGGTCTCAAGCTTTCATCCAAGAAGCAAAGGGGTCCCGAGCTCGGTCTACAAGTCTCAATCTAGGTACAGTGATCAATTGTGTCGGCTGAAAGTGGGGAGTGACCCTCGGCCGAGTGCAGGTCGGGGTGGTGCTGGGTCAGGTCGGTGACCGTCAGGTGCAGGGGTCGGAGGTCGCTTGCAAGGGATGCCCAGGCAAGTCAAGGCGCGCCCCCGTCCAGGGCGGGGACCCGGGCAGGGAGTGACCGCGCTCTCACTTCTCAGGGTCGCAGAGCTCGCTTCCTCACGCCAGAACGCCACCCGATTCAGGCCTCCAGTGGCCCCACCACCACGCCCGCCGGTGGGGGTCCCAGGCTCCCGCTGAGGGTCGGTACGCAGGCTTTGAGCCGCGGAAGCTACCGTGGGAGGAAGTTCGGGCCGAGGCCTCGCCTCTCCGACCATGGGAACCAATAGGAGCCCGAAGCCTCGACGCACGCGCGCTCACTCGCTCCGACCGTCGGCCTCTCCCACCCGCCCGCCCCAGCCCGGTGTGTTGGGCACGTCTGAAAGCACTTGGCACTACCCCGAACTAGTTATGGCCGTTGTTTTGTTTCCGTTTTTTTTTCTAAGATTTCTAATTTTTCTAAGATTTATTTAATATGTATACAACGTTCTGTCTGCATGTATGTATGCCTGCATTCCAGATATCATTACAAATGAATGTGGTTGCTGAGAATTGAACTCAGGACCTCTGGAAAAGCAACTAGTGCTCTTAACCTCTAAGCCATCTCTCCAGCCCCATTGGTCCTTGTTGTGTCCCGCACAGCCAGATACTTTAATGACCCGTGCTGCTCCATTCACAAGACCCTTGATATGTGATAGGATGAAAACCAAGGATGAGAGAGCAAACTGTGCTGCTACCTCTCCCTGTGACTTGACCAAGCCCCGTTATGAAATGGAGATGCTTCCTTGGGACCACCGCTGGGTTGGGCAGTAGGTGGTGTCCTCCCGGGTCTGTCCTGAAGCGCCTTTTCAACCCCTAAGGACCACTGACTCTTGGCCTTGGGCAGGAGCCCTCAGGGCCCTCCAGATCTGTTTTTCACCTGTAGTGTGAGAAGGTTGGACTGAACGACTCTCGACAATCCCTTTCACCCTCAAATTATGTATGTGCGTTTAAAATATGGGACTTGCTGTGCTTCGGGTACGGTCACATAAGTCTGGCTGTCTTAGACCCATAACCTCCAAGAGCTAGAGGCATGGTGGTCCCGAAGAGATAAACGCAAAGTCACCTGGCCCCTAAGTCTGACAAACCAGCGTGTGTGTGTGTGTGTGTGTGTGTGCAAGCGTGTGTGCGCGAGTGCCTGTCTGTGGACTGGAATGTATGGAGAAAAACAAGTCCGTGTGCCCTACTCGAGTCACAGGAACCAGAGATTGTTCCGGAGGCAACAGTGGCGTGAGGATCAGGACCACGACTTGAGTTCTCGTTGTCACCTGGTTTCCTTGCTGAGAAGCAGGGTGAGCTCCTGGCTGGTCTCCAGTGTTGTTTTTGTTTTACTGAGCTTTTCATTTAGGGCCAAACTTGATGGCACATAAGCCTTTAATCCCAGCAGAGGGAAACAGAAGCAGACAGATGTCTGATTTCCAGTTAAGAGCTATACAGAGAAAAACCAAAAACCATCCAAACAAAGCTAAAGTAGGCAGGCTAACCATGGTGACAAAGGCCTGTATTCCTAACACTTGGGTGGTGGAGGCAGGAGGATCAGCAGGAGTTCAAGGCCATACTTGGCCACATAGCTACCCCAAAGTCTGCCTGGGCCATATGAGACTGCCCTCCCCCCCAAAAAAAAACCCACAAAATAACAGCAATAAATATTACAGAAGGTCACAGTACTGCTCCAGGAGACACAAATCACTGTAGGCAGAGAGGGGAAGGTCTTTAGTCTCTGCTTACCTACCGTATGTGGGACGTGGGCCAACCCCTTTCCTGTGTATCTCATGAATATGCCTTATAGATTCTGTGACTGGAACCAAGAGGATTAGTAGCTACCATTTATGTGCTGGGTACTTTAAAATAAACTTTGTGTGTGTGTGTGTGTGTGTGCGTGCGCGTGCCCACGCATGTATGCGTCTCTGCATGTGTGCGTGTATGTGTTGATGTGAGTTAAACCCCGGGCCTCCTGCCTGTGAAGCAAGCACTCTAATCCTGAGCTACATGTGAGAGAAAATGTGGAACATTTTGTCTTTCTCCCCTGCTCCGTTACTGCCTCTTGCTCTCACACTTTCTGGACTTCTTCCCCCATCGTCTCCTGTCCTGTGTGGATGGGCACGTGTGCATGTGTGTTATGTGTACACACATTTATTCTAGATTCTGGAGCTGGGGAGACGGCTTCCTGAGTGCTGATTGCACTCCCGACAACCCGAGCTGAGGTGATGTCAGGCATCTGTATCAACACCCTTCTATGGCCAGATGCCAGGTGGAGGGAAGAGACTCACCTGGAAGCTGGCGGACCATGCTGCAGCAACAGAAACAAGAGAGACCTGCTTAACGGAGCGGAAGGTGCGAACCTACTCCCGAAAGCTGTCCTTTGACCTCCATATGGGCGCTGTGGTACAAGTGTGCACGCTCTTGCTCTTTGTCTCAGAAACACAGAGTTAATTCGGTTTTTGTTTTAATGGGCCTCGAGGGATGACGCTGGTTAACAGCACTGGCTGTTCTTGAAGAAGACCCGGATTCTGTTTCAAGCCCACATGTGGGAGCTCACAGCCCCCTGTCACTGCATCTCTAACAGAAGACTTGACCTCTTCTGACCTCTGAGGGCTCATGCACACAGGTGGGACATGTGTGTACTCAGGCACACAAACATGCACACATAAAAGCAAATAAATGAGCCGGGCAGTGTGGTGCACGCCTTTAATCCCAGCACTCGGGAGGCAGAGGCAGGCGGATCTCTGTGAGTTCGAGGCCAGCCTGGTCTACAAGAGCTAGTTCCAGAACAGACTCCAAAGCTACAGAGAAACCCTGTCTCAAAAAAAAAAAAAAAAAAAAAAAACAAGAAAACAAAAAAACCAGATAAATAAATAAATGGATGAATGAATACTGAGGCTGGAGAAATGGTACAAGCAAAAGCATTTACCGCTTTTTTTTCTTCTGTGTGGTTGTGGCTGTCTTGGAACTCTCTTTGAACACCAGGTTGGCCTAGAACTCAGCATTTACTGCTCTTGCAGAGGTCCTGGGTTTGAGTCTCAGCACCCACATGTTAGCCCATAACCAACCTTAATACCAGCTCCAGGGAATCTTATGTCTTCTTGTAATCTCCACAGGTACTAGGCATGTACGTGGCACAAACACATACATGTAGGGAAAACACTCATACACATCAGATAAATCTTAAACATTGTAAGGTCTGTTTTGTTTTTTGAAACAGGGTTTCTCTGTGTTGCCCTGGTTGTCCTGGAACTCACAGAGATCTGCCTGCCTCTGCCCCCCAGAGCTGGGATTAAAGGCGTACACCACCACTGCCCGGCTTGTCTTGTTATTTTTAATTTAATTTACTTATTTATTTATTTATTTTGGTTTTTCAAGACAGGGTTTCTCTGTAGCTTTGTCGCCTGTCCTGGAACTAGCTCTTGTAGACCAGGTCACAGAGCTCTGCAGGCCTCTGCCTCCCGAGTGCTGGGATTAAAGGCGTGCACTAGCACTGCCTGGCCTATTTTTAATTTTAGATTCTGCACGTGGAGGAAAATGTGACGATGGTCTCTCTGCGGTCGGCTTGTTTTGTTTCTCATGACGATCTCTAGTTGTTGCAAATGATGTCATTTTATTGTTCTTTATGCCTTAACTCCATTGCGTACAGCATCACTCTGTCTCTGCCCACTCTTCCGCCGACGGCCTTGCACTTTTCCTCCTTCTGACCACCGTTCCTCCGTTCACCACCCATTAGCGTTTACCGTGTTATTCTGCCACACTCTCTAATCCATTAAGCATGTCAGTGGATAAAGCCGCCACAGGTCCTTGACTACACGGACAACCTGCAAGCTGCATGTAACAGGTCCATGACAAGCACCAGGAGAAAGGCGAAGAAGACGCTGGGAGGGAGGGGAGCAGACTTCGGGGCGATTTCAATTGTCCACGAGATGGCTGGGGGTGCTCCCTGAGGTAATGTTTCAGCCGCAGCTTAAAGAAGTCCAGAGAGAGGATGTCCAGGAAGACAAAGCCAAGTCGGCTTTAGGGCCTTGAGGCTGAGAGCCTGTTCAGCAACGCAGGAAGCAGGACATGAGGTCAGAGAAGGGCGGTACTGTGAGGGCTCCGACAGCACAGAAGCGATTTAGCCACTTTCTTTTTAATTTTTAAAGAAAGGAAATTTGTTTGTTGCAGTTTAGAGACAAGAAAGTTAAAAAAAAAAAAAAATCTAGCCTCTGGCATCTGGTGAGGGCCTCCCTGCTCCATCAGCTGACGGCAGGGGCCAGAGGGCAGGAGAGCAGAATTTTGGTTTTGACACAGTGTAGCTCTGGTCTTTGCCCAGTCAAAAGCCCATTGTTCTTCCCCCTGGGGTAGAGGAGGCTGCGGTTCTGACTCACGGCTGGAAACAACTCTGGAGAGAGCGGACAAACAGGCTTCAGGGCCTGGTGAGTCACTTCTGGGGGCAGGGGCCTCTCTTTTTCGGATTGTTCTCATCCTGCCCTAGGCTCAGGCGGTTGCCACAGGCCACTGTAGCCTGGGACTGCCACCTGGTGGCCACTGTCTGACTTCACATAGCCTCTCAGCTGGTTAGGGTAGGTGAGGCTTGTGCTCCGAGGGGATGAATGAGAATTTGCTCTGGATAGGCTGCTCAGGCAGGGCCTTGCTCCTTACTCAATAAGGCAGCCAGCCTTGCAGAGGCTCACCAAGCTAGGCCTCAGTGTCACACAGCAAGGTTGTCACTGTCCAGGGACAGGACTCAGGCTTGCTCTGTCAACCTGGCCCTAGAGATTCCATACTTGGCTGGCCTCTTCCAGGCTCAGGGTCACTGAAGTTGGCTCCCTCTTGCTAATGGTTGTCTGAGGTCTGGGCACTGGGCCACTTCTCACCCTCCAGCCAGGGTTAAACATTAGTGGGAGGTTATCGGGTTCGGAAAGGGGGTGGGGATTTCACTTGCAACAGTCTTCTCTGCTTCTCTGCTGCGCGGCCCGGCCCGGAGCAGCAGTTCCCACCTGAGCCTACACAATGCCTGTGGAGGAGTTTGTGGCTGGCTGGATCTCCGGTGAGACCTTCTTCTTCTTTCTATCTTCTCACCCTTAAGGGTGGGTTGTGGGGAGGAAGGGTTGTCAAGAGGAGTTGTTCCCTTGGAGCACCCAGTAGCTAGCTGTTTCCAGAGCCTTCTGGGAATAGCCAAGGAAGCAGAGGGGAAAGAAGACAAGCAGAGACTGCTTCTGCATCCCAAGGCCATGCTGCCAGAGACCACTAAGGACCTGATAACCAGGGAACCTCCCCCAAGCCCCTTCTCCCAGACCAGTGTAAGGGACCCAGAACACATTCACCTTTGATCTCACCGGCTGTCCTGACTTCCCCTTTGGAAATCTGCCCCACCTGGCAATGGGTGGCACTCCTCCGCCTTGAGAAAGGACACCATGGATGTGCTCCTGGTGCTGCACCCCAGGCCCCAGAAACAGCATTTTTTTGTGGAGAATAAGACTAGATTGTGGGTGGCTTTCTCCCCTGGGGCCAGCAGGACTCTAAGCCCCCCACCCCCACCCCGCTTTGCACTGGTAAGACAGGTAGAAGGCCAGAGGAAGGGGCCAGCAGGGCCTGTTCTCATCCAAGGCCACAGAACTCTGAGAGGAAGGCAGAGTACAGCTCACACAGCTGGGAATGGCAGCCACTCCTCTAGGGCAGCGGCTCTTGACCTCCCTCATGCTCCGACCCCCAACCTTAAAATTACTATTGTTGCTACTTCATAACTGTAATTCTGTTACTGTTATGAATGTAATGTAAATGTCTGATATGTTACCCCAAAGGGGTCGCGACCTAGAGGACAGTATTACAGGTGGTTCTTCCCTATTGTGTGTGTGTGGGCCTCAGGTGAGGTCAAGGGTCTGCCACCTATTCCCCAGCTCTTTGGTGGCCCAATATCAGGTGTGGTGGGGTGGGGTAGGGCAGGGCAGTTGGAATCTCAGTGGAGCCCCAAGAATGTGGTTGATGGTGTCTAAGCATACCCGGCCTTCCTGCTCCTACCTGATCCCTCTTTCCTCCAGTAGAGACTTGCTTCTTAGATTTGGCACAGAGTTCTTACTCATAGAGCACCTTCTTTTCATTTTACATCCCAGCCAGTTTTCCCTCCGGTCCCTCCTCCTGCTTCCTCCCTCCCCCACAGCCCACCCTCCATCCACTCCTCCCAACAGATTAGGGCTCCTACGGGGAATCAACAAATCTGGCACATTAAGTTGGGCAGGTCCGAGCCCCCCCCCCCCCCCCCCCCCGCATTAAGGCTGAGTATTCACAGCACCTTCTTGTCACCGCAGGAGCCGTGGGGCTGGTCCTGGGGCACCCATTTGACACTATAAAGGTAAGTGTAGCGGGGGTACCAAGGGAACCGATGGTCTGGCAGGAACCTGGGTAAGAGCCCAGCTAATTGGGTTGGCTCACTTGTGTGTCTGCCAGCATCTACTGCGTGGGCGACCTGGCTGTGGCTGTGGGAGCAGCCCTGGCTTGCCCATTTCCTCACATACCCAGTACTTTCCATCCAGGTGCGCTTACAGACCCAGAACACATACCGGGGCATCGTGGACTGCATACTCAAGACTTACCGCCATGAGTCGGTAGGTAGCCTACTTCTTCCAGGTGGGAGTGACTGTTTCCTGCCTGGCAGTCACTTAGCATCCCCAATGCCGAGTGAGGTCCTCGCAGCCTCCTTCACCTGCTCTGTCTGCCTGGGACAGGACTTGAGCAGAAGTGATGTACAGATAGCAGAGGCCTGGCCAGAACAGGAAGTGGGACAAGGGAGGCCCACCATGCCTCTTACGATGCCATCATATTGCTCTGCAGGTCCTGGGCTTCTTCAAAGGAATGAGCTTCCCCATTGCCAGTGTAGCCCTGGTCAACTCCGTCCTGTTTGGTGTGTACAGCAACACCCTGCTGGCCCTCACAGCCACCTCTCACCAGGAGCGGCGGGCCCAGCCACCCAGCTACACAAACATCTTCATAGCAGGTTGTACTGGGGGTGTCCTGCAGGTGAGAGGGTCATGTATGAGTACACACATTCAGGCAACACAGTGATGGATCTGAGCCTTACACACACACACACACACACACACACACACACACACACGGGACTCCCAGCAGTGCCTGATAAGGTCTTCCTAAGGGGTACTTGTAGCCACTGCTAATTGACCTAGCCATGTTGTGCCTTGCCAGCCTGCAGGCTTGGAAGTGGAAGGTCACAGAGACCAGGGGGACAAGAAGCAGAGGGTGGGGGAGGGCAAAGACGATGCTGGGCAGAAGCGACCAACGCCTTCTTTCAGGCTTGTCTACCTTCAGAAGGGTCTCCTAGCCCTAGAGTTGTGGGGAGACTATGCAGCATGGTGACCTTTGACCCCGGGGAACTGTCATTCCCCAGCAGAGCTGAGTTTTACCCTTTAAGTAACCCTAAAGTGGTCCTAGTCCATTCCACCTGCTCAGCCAGGCTTTGGCCTGAAGTACAAGGATAGCCATAATCTCTGAGCCCGACCTGAGGCCACAAGTCACAGACCTCAGCCAATCACTGTGTGTCACCCCCATCGTCTGTTTTGGTCTTTGCTCTTAGCACACTGGCACGGCTTCTCTTGGGGGGGGGGGTGGAGACTAAAAGAGCTTCCAGGCCCTAGAGGGGACCTGAGCTAAAGGGAGTGTCTGAGCAGAAAGGGACAAAGGGACAGGTGCCAGTTCAAGCCTACACCCAGATGGGCTCCTAGGTAACCTTCTAATGGGTACCTGCCCTGATGCCACTGATACTTCACGGGGCAGAGAGCAAGATGAGAGGACGAAGCCGGGGTGTGCACGACAGGGGTTAATGATTAAAGAGGCCCAGAGATGCCTGGCTCCTTTCTCCCTCCTCCCCCACCGCCTTTCTTTGTTTGTTTGTTTGTGAGTTTTGTTTTGTTTTGAGACAGGGTTTCTCTATGTAACAAACAGCCCTGGCTGTCCTGGTACTCGCTCTGTACAGAGACCAGGCTGGCCTCAAAATCAGAGATCCACCTGCCTCTGCCTCCTGAGTGCTGGGATTAAAGGCAAGCACTATCCCCACCCCTGGCTTCATCTATTTATTATTTATTTGTTTAGTCGGTTTGGTTTTTCAGAACAGGGTTTCTCTGTGTAATAGTCATAGCTGTCCAGGAACTCACTTTGTAGACCTGGCTGGCCTCGAACTCACTGAGATCCTACCTGCCTCTGCCTCCCAGGTGCTGGAATTAATGGTGTGCGCCACCACCGCCTGGCCACCCTTTTATTTTTTTAAATGATTTATTTATTTTTTTATGTGTATGAGTGCTTTGCTTACATATATGTATGAGCACCATGTGTGTGCAGTGCCTGCAGAGGCCCACAAAAGGTATTGAATCTCCTTGAACAAAAGTAACTACAGATGGTTGTGAGCTACCATGTGGGTCCTGGGAACTCAGCCCCAGGCCTTTGCAAGAGCAGTGAGTTTTCTTAACCATGGAACCATCTCTCAAGCCCCTCTAGTTTAGTGTTCTTGAAATAGGGTCTTGCTATGTAGCCCTGGTGGGCCTGTAATTCACTCTGTAGATTAGACTATCCTCCAATTTATAACAGTCCCCTAGCCTCTTCCCCAGACTCTGGAATTAGTGTTACATGCCACCAAACAAGGCTTTATGTTCCTTATTATACAGATATGTGCCCATATATTTCTAAAGCCTGGAGGCCTGTACCCCTCAAAAACAGTACGAAACCAAAGTCCCTTGATAAAGTGGCCTGACTTAGGCCCAGCCAGGTGCCACTTCTCAATCACTTTTTCCTCATCTCTCTGAAAAGCAGAACCAGGGACTGTTAGGACCATAAGTGGTGACTTGGTCTAGGAACCTGCTAGAAGCCAGCGTTTCCTGCGACATCTTTCAACAGGGTTTCGAAGCCAGTTATGTACCAGTGAGGAAGTGGGAGGAAGGGGCAGGTGCTGACAGCTTCTGGTGGCACAAACATTGCTTGTGACCTTGCTGAAGCCTCTCTGGCTAATAATCGTTTAGGTTCCATGGGTCACACCCCACAAGAGTCCCTGCGTCATCTCTGGAGCTCCAGGTCAGGAGCCCACCCCGCTGAGGGCTCGGCTCAGCCCTGATGACAGGCCCCGGGAGGAGCCTCAGTCCCAGCTTACAAAGGGCCTCCACCTTCCACGGAGGTAGAAGCGTGCAGTGTGCCCCGTCCCTGCTAAAGCCCACCACTAGTCTCTCTAATACCAACCAGGTCTAGAGCTGAACACGGAGCTCATGTGCTTCTAGTCAGACAGCAAACTCACAGCCGGGGCAAGTCAGTTCCCGCTAGGACCCTGCCTGCACCTCCGTGACACTGCAAATGGTGTTCTTTGATTTTTATAAAAAAAGACTTTAGTCCTAAAATCAAACTTAAATTCTGCCAGTGGAAGCTCGAAGAAGGTATATGATTCCCTGGAGCTGGAGTTACAGGCAGTTAGGGCCTGCCGTATATGGACTCAGGATGCAGACTCAGGTCCTCTGGGCAGACACTATACACTCTTACCCACCGAGTCTCCTCTCCAGCACTGGTTAGTTTTTTTTTTTTTTTTTTTTGGTTTTTCGAGACAGGGTTTCTCTGTGGTTTTGGAGCCTGTCCTGGATCTAGCTCTTGTAGACCAGGCTGGTCTCGAACTCACAGAGATCCGCCTGCCTCTGCCTCCCGAGTGCTGGGATTAAAGGCGTGCGCCACCACCGCCCGGCCTGGTTAGTTTTTTTTTTAATGAATGTTTTTAAATCTCTTATGTGTACGGATGCTCTTGCCTGCGTGCATGCTTGTGTGCCATGTACAGCCCTGGTACCTACCGAGCAGTGTTGGATCCCCTGTAACTGGAGTTACAGATGGTTACACAGAGCCGCATGTGGGTTCTGGGAACTGACTCTACATCCTCTGGAGGAGTAGCCAGTGCTTTTAACCGCCCAGTCCCATCTCTCCAGCCCTGTGACTCGTTTATTGACTGAGTTTCATTCTGCGGTAGCCCACACCAACCTGGAACTCACTATGCAGACCAGGCTAGTCTTGAACTCTTGTAGTCCTCACTGAAGCCTCTGGGGTCACAGGTATGAGCCCAGCACAGCCAGCTAGAACCTCCCCTGAGCTTCAGTAGCTTCTCTTGTTTGTCTGGAGACAGGATCTCACTGTGTAGCTCTTGCTGGCCTGGAATTTACTGTGTAGACCAGACTGGGCTTTAGCTTACAGAAATCTGCCTGCCTCTGCCTCTGCTTCCTGAAATGCTGAGGTTGAAGGCATGTGTCTCCCTGGCCAGCTAGCTACTTAACAGCTACACTCCTGACACCTCTCCACATCTTCCCAGCCCAGTCCAGTCTACTCCAGGTCTGCGTCCTGGCTAAGGGCTCTAGGGCCTTTTTGGTCAGAGGCAGGGAGGGCTGCTTTGTGGCCTTAGAGAGGTGTGCTACGGAAGAGGGGGAGTCTCTGATGTTGGGTCTGTTTTAGAAAAATGCCATCGAGGTGACCCCCACCTACAGCATCAGCTCCTCACTGTTTTGTGTGTGTGTGTGTGTGTGTGTGTTTTGGTTTTGATTTTCTTTTTTTTTCCCGTTTATTTATTTATTAAAGATTTCTGTCTCTTCCCCGCCACCGCCTCCCATTTCCCTCCCTCTCCCCCAGTCAAGTTCCCCTCCCTTGTCAGCCCATAGAGCTATCAGGGTTCCCTGCCCCATGGGAAGTCCAAGGACCACCCACCTCCATCCAGGTCTAGCAAAGTAAGCATCCAAACTGCCTAGGCTCCCACAAAGCCAGTACGTGCAGTCAGCTCCTCACTGTTTTGCTTACAGAATGAACCCTCATGGAGCCCCAACCACTGCAAACATGGGCTCCTCCCTGGAATCAGGGAGCCCAGGAACCAGCCCACTCCCACTTGTCCTTGGGCACCTGTGCCTACTATCTTAGGAGGAGGGGCCAGTGCGGAGCCTCTCAGGCCTGATAATAAGAGAGGCAGTCTGTTCTCAACGGCAGCCAGATACTTGGCCAAACCCAGCTGTGTACGTGGGAGGCTAGGAGCTGGCAGCAGGAGCCTCTGCCCTATTGTGATTATAAGCAGATTTTCCCAAGCTTAAACTCCACCCAGTCCCCTCCATGTCTTTCTTCACAGGCCTACTGCCTGGCTCCTTTCGACCTCATCAAAGTCCGTCTACAAAACCAGACAGAGCCGAGGATGAAGATAGGGAGCTCTGAACCCCGATACCGGGGGCCTGTGCACTGTGCAGCCTCCATCTTGAGAGAAGAGGGACCCCAGGGACTGTTCAGAGGATCCTGGGCCCTAGTGCTGAGGGACACCCCTACATTGGGAATGTACTTTGTCACCTATGAAGGGCTATGTCGCCAGTACACACCAGAAGGCCAGAATCCCAGTAAGTGGGGTGGGGTGGGGGTCCAGCAGGCTAGGGAGGGAACTAAGGCTGGGGAGATGCTCTGTTCCAGTCTGACTCCACCCTGGCTTCCTCTGCTCCAGGCTCAACCACAGTACTGGTGGCTGGCGGCTTTGCTGGCATAGCCTCCTGGATCACAGCCACGCCTTTTGATGTGATCAAGTCCCGGATGCAGATGGACGGGCTGAAGGGGAGAAAATACCGGGGGATGCTGCACTGTATGGCAAGCAGCTTCCGGCAGGAAGGAATACGGGTCTTTTTCAAAGGCATGACCCTCAATAGTGCCCGTGCCTTTCCTGTCAACGCCGTTACCTTCCTTAGCTATGAATATCTGCTGAGCTTGTGGAGATGAGCCTGGCCAGGCCGTGCCAGCAAGTCTACAACAGGAGCACGGCGGATAGATAGTAACTTGGAAAATCAAGCTAAAGAACCCAGCTAGCAGGTTCAAAAGCAAGAGGTGACATGCATCACCCAGAGTTAAGGAGTCAACTGGCAAGAAACCAATGAAGCTGGCAGTGTACGGACTCCAAGACACACCCATCTCCAGCCCACCTCTTTCCAGAAAGCAGGGGCACAAGCCACATACAAGTCAGCCAGGCCACCATGTCACAACTGCCCCTCTGAAGAGAGCTCTCAGGGATCAGTCACTGTCTTGGCGCCACCCAGGCAGGGGTTCAAACCATTCCCCTGGACGGGAGAATGACCTTTGCCTCCTCGTGTCCAGAAGCCTTCAGGGAAACCCAGGTCTCTAGCTCCTGGCTCTCCTGGCCCACTAGGTGGTCCTCTCTCTTGGTCACTTCCTGCTGTGGTCCCTCATGTCCCAGGAGTGCTCAGGGGGGTGAAGTTATTGTCCCTCCAGTGGCCTACTCTCCTCTGAGACACAGGCAGAGCTGTCTCTAGGGTCCTTCCAGCCCTGTGGGGTACCCAAGAACCTCAGCCCTCCTCCTACCTCAACCACAGCTCTTGTGTGCAGGGCTTCATGGTTAGTTGTCTCGCTCCTGAGTCATTGTCTCTGAGAGTCTTGTAGTAAGGTTGTATTCCTGTCTCTTGAACAGATAGATACATGCAATAAAGTTTTGTTTGCTGACATGCTGATGATCCCCTCCCATCTCTGCTCCCACCACATACACGTCTGTCCATGCCCTGGCTCCTCTCCAGGCTGTCTCTGCCTGGCCCACATCTCCTTACATTTGTCTTCTTCTTTTTTTTTCTTTCTTTCTTTTTTCTTTTTTACATTTGTCTTCTTATTTACCTCAATTGTTAAATTAGATATTAAAACTGTCTGAGGGGCTGGAAAGATGGCTCAGTGATTAAGATCACTGGCTGCTCTTCCAGAGGACCCAGATTCAAATCCCAGCACCCACAGGGCAGCTCACAACCATCTGTTAAATCCTCTTCTGGCTTCTGTGGGCATTGCATGTACATGGTACATATCTATACTTGGGGACAAAACACCCATACACATAAAATAATAACGAAAATATTAAAAAAAAACTGGATGAGCCGGGTGGTGGTGGTGGCACATGCCTTTAATTCCAGCAGTCAGGAGGCAGAGGCAGGTGGATCTCTGAGTTTGAGGCCAGCCTGGTCTACAGAGTGAATTCCAGGACTGGCTCCATAGCTACTGAGAAATCCAGTCTCAAACAAACAAACAAACCCAAATCACAAAAAACAAAACAAAAAAAAAAACTGGACGAGAGCTTGTCAATGGCCTTTAATTTTAGCACTCAGGGGGCAGAGGCAGGCAGATCTCCCAGTTCAAGGTCAGACTGGTCAACAAAGCAGTTCCAGAACAGCAGGACTATCGTGTCTCAAAAACCATAAATAAATAGAATAGTCAGTTTACTCTTTCATGACTTCTCATAACTCAGAGAGTCCCCATTAGGGAAGGCCCTATTTACTCTTTTTTTTTCCCCCAAGACAGAGTTTCTCTGTGTAACAGTAACAGTCCTGGCTGTTCTGGAAGTCACTCAGACTCAGAGATCTACCTACCTCTGCCTCCCAAGTGCTGGGATTAAAGGCATGTGCCACCACTGCCCGGTTGACATTTGTTCTTGGTGAACATCTTAACCTACTTCTGCTAAACACATGTGGCCCTCTCCCACCACAAGACATTGGCACACGTTCTTCTCTCTGAGGTGTACCTCCCCTTCTTTCAGCTCTAGGCTCTTTGAGATGTCTTTTAGTTTCCTTGGGCTGTGGGATGGTTCAGAAGTGCCTGGAGGGTTTGTTCAAGTACAGGTTGTGGAGTCTAACTTCAGTTTCTGACTCGGAAGGTTTTGGAGGGTAAGTTCTCAGAGGAAGCTGTGGGTGTGGGCGAGGACCACTGGACATGTTTCTCATGTCACTGATTTTCTTCGGTCTGTAATTACATGTTCACCTCTGAGTGTCTTCTGTGATTATGATTGTATTCTGTCTCTCTAGCCCATGAACTCCATGGAGCAGAGACTCCACCCCTAATTGCTTGTCATTAAAACTAGAGCTGCAAAGAGGGTTGTCCAGGAGATGGTTTTTTTTTTGTTTTTTTTTTTTTAAATATTTATTTATTATGTATACAATATTCTGTCTGTGTGTATGTCTGCAGGCCAGAAGAGGGCACCAGACCTCATTACAGATGGTTGTGAGCCACCATGTGGTTGCCGGGAATTGAACTCAGGACTTTTGGAAGAGCAGGCAATGCTCTTAACCACTGAGCCATCTCTCCAGCCCCAGGAGATGGTTTTGAGAGTCTAGGGATGCAGCTCAGGTGGTAGAGTGCTTGTGTGCACATTAAAGCCCTGGATTGATTGCCAGTATCACATACCTGGGGCATGGTGACTTTATACTGTAATCCTAGCACTAGGTAGGTAGAGGCAAGATCAGAAGTTCAAGGTTGTTCTCGGCTAGGTAAGCGACCCTGTCTCAGAAAAAAAAAAGTTTTAACAAAATGAGTGAATGAATTAATGAACAAAAACTGGTTTTCCTAATTCCCTCTCTGGAAGACCAGTACTCTAATGGCACTATTTTCTATAAGCAACAAGATTTCAGATAATTATTACAAACAGTCGAAAGCCTTGCTAACTGATAAAGAATGAAGAAACTTCCCACGATCCCAGAAATGGAGGCTGTGAGGCCAGGATGTGGGGCTGAGGCTGCCTCCTAAGGTGAGTGCTGAATCCACCACCGGGGACACACAGAACCTTGTGGAGAGAACCTGGGAACGACGCACTACACCTTGAGTTCCCAGACCGCATCCAAGACTCAGAAAGTGAGCAAGATCCCCAAAGGGCTCCACCAGTAAAAAAGCGGACTGGAAAAACCTCCAGTCACCAAGAAAAGGAAAGAAAAATTGCTTCTCCCTCACAGACAGTAAAGTCTGGCTGCCCAGAGGACTGGGACCCATATTCTTGTGCCCTGGAGCCTGTCTCTGAGAAGCTAAGTCTGAGAAGCTAAGAAGAAGTCTTCTTCCTGCCCCCTCGTGCCCAGAAGAAGCAACTACACGATAGTGTTCCTCAGGTTTAATCCCAAGGGTGATTTCCCCAACACAGACATAACAAACATGATGGAAATAAGCAGAGAGCCTAAATATATATAGCTGTCTCTCTCCTTCCTTTCTTTGAGACAGGGTGTCACACCTGGCTCTGAGAGACATTTCTCCCAAAAGACAGAGCCAGCAAGAGCTGGACAAGGAGCTGCTGGGCCTGGGTTGCACACCTTTAATCACAACATCTGGGAGGCAGAGGCAGGAGAATCTCTGTGAGTTCGAGGCCAGCATGGTTTACATAGTGAGTGCCAGCCCACCCAGAGCTACACGGTGAGACCCTATCTCGAAGAACAAAAACTACAATTGATCAACACACCAAACAAAAGAGCTGGGCAAAGTGGTGCGCACCCGTACTCCACCATTCTGACTCTAGCAGGACGGAGAGCTCACGGCTAGTCCAGCTCAAATGAAAGGGAGCAGGGGTTTTAAATGTTTTCAACACTACTAATTCTGAGAGAAATTAAATGATGGCTGTGGTGAGCTGTGGAGGGGGTCTAGTAGTCTGTGTCGAGGGCAAACATGAGGGTGTAACAGCTGTTTCTCTCTCACTCTGTACCTAGAGCTGGAAGAAGTCATAGTTCAGAACAGTAATTGATTTTTATTTATTTATTTTAGTTTTTCAAGATAGAGTTTCTCGCCGGCGGTGGTGGCACACGCCTTTAATCCCAGCACTCGGGAGGCAGAGGCAGGCGGATCTCTGTGAGTTCGAGGCCAGCCTGGTCTACAAGAGCTAGTTCCAGGACAGGAACCAAAAGCTACGGAGAAACCCTGTCTCGAAAAAAAAAAAAAAAAAAGATAGAGTTTCTCTGTGTAGCCTTGGCTATCCTGGAACTCACTCTGTAGACTAGGCTGGTCTCGAACTCACAAAGATCCATCTGCTTCTGCCTTTAATCCCAGTGTTGGGATTAAAGACGTGTACCACAGGGGGCTGGAGAGATGGCTCAGCGGTTAAGAGCACTGACTGCTCTTCCAGAGGACCCGGGTTCGATTCCCAGCACCCACATGGCAGCTCACAACTGTCTGAAAATGTAGTTCCACGAGATCTGACACCTTCACACCAACGAACATAATAAAGTTAAATAAATAAATAAATAATAAAATGTTTAAAAAAAAAGACGTGTACCACCACTGCCCAGCTTTTTTTGTATGTGTGTGATCGCTTTTTATGATTTATAGAATTATTTTTCTGAGGAAGTTTTCCATCCGTTGCATGGCACACTTGGAGGTCTTGGATTATTCGGTACTGTTTACCCAATGTAAAAATAATAAACCTAAAAAACTTAACAAAACTCCCAGTTTTTTGTTTTTCTTAAGATTTATCTATTTACTTATTTATTTATTATGCACACAATGTTCTGTCTGCATGTATGCTTGCTCACCAGAAGGCACCAGATCTCATTACAATTGGTTGCTGGGAATTGAACTCAGGACCTCTGGAAGAGCAGTCAGTGCTCTTAACATTTGAGCCACCTCTTCACCCCTGTTTTAGTTTTTCAAGACAGGACTGATCTGTGCAACAGTCCTGGCTGTCCTGGAACTCGTTTTGTAGACCAGATTGGCCTCGAACTCACAAAGGCCCACCTGCCTCTGCTTCCCAAGTGCTAAGACTAAAGGTACCAACTATGCTGGGCAAACTCTCTAATCATTAAAAAAAAAAAAAAAAAGTCAAAAGCACAAGGGCTTATGGTCGTGGTTTCATTTCTAGGACTGAATGAATGAACTGATATGCACCCTGTTCTCTTACATGACACCCCAGCATATGTCCTCCCCACAGTCCTCCCCACTCACAGGGAGCATACAGCCCCGCTCCTAGTGCCAGTGACTGATAAACTAGACACGAAGCAGATAAGAGCCACAGGGTGTCTGCCAATATAAACAAGTTTTCAGTATAAAGAGTGACCTGGTCAGAGTACTAGACCTCAAATGGCCCTCAGTTAAGTGACCCACTAGAATGTCACACTGTGAACATCCATGGCCAGCCACTGTTGAGACAGGGTCACTGGGGGCTCTCAGAGCATCTTACCTCCATGAATTCCATACTCAGGGGTGTTCCCTCACTCCATTTTAGGCCTGCCATACTTCCCACTTTTCTCTCTTCAGCAGTCTACATATTGAAACTCACCCCTGGGCATATGAGATGGGTCAGGAGGGAAAAGCACTTGTCACAAAAGCCCAGAGACCTGAGTCTGAGTCCCAGAACCCACAGAAAGGTGAAAGGAGAGAAGCAACTCCACAGAGCTGGCCTTTGCTCTCCAGACATGCATGGTAGCATGTGCATGCATGTTTGTGCACTCCCCGCCCCCCACACAAGTACATTTAAAAAAGAAACAAGGTTGGGCATGGGGGCACACATCTTTAATCCAAACACTCCTGTTTAAGGCCAGCCTGGGTTGAGCTTCATCCCCAATCACATAAATCAGGGTATGGTGGCTGAAGAAAACATGTTTTTGACTCCACCCTGCCTGTTGACTAGAACGTTAGGTGTTTTCCAACAGCCTGCAGGTGCTTCCCTGTCTTTCGCCTGTCTTGCCTTTGACATAACCAGTCATAGTAAATGCCCTTAAAATGAGCAAATCCCTGCGTTTGACAAACAACCCACTGTACCCACCTCCCTGAACATGTGGTTTTTTGCTTTTAAAAGTAGCCTGTAATAGCTAGTCGGGGCTTCTCTCCCTTGCCTGGCTGAGGAGCCCGTTTGCACAAATGAGAATAAACTTCCTTTTGTATCAACCGGACTGGTGAGTGGTTTCTTGGGGCGACCCTCCTGAGGAGTTAGCATCCTAGAGTTGGGGTCT